TGCAATATAGCATGCAAAAATAATAGAAAACAAATAGCAGTAATAGCAACATCAATCAACTAGTGATTTAAACAGCAAGGTAACAGGAACACCATAAATATTGCTCAAACGAGTAATAAACACAGGTACGGCCAATTAATCGGGTCCTTCAGAATATACATCTTTTATCTAAGTTATTCAATAAAAATCTCTGGAATATAATAATTTTCAATAAATATATTTTCGAATATAATTCTTTCAAGTAAATATCTTTCGAATATAATTCTTTCAAGTAAATATCTTTCAAATATAATTCTTTCAAGTAAATGTCTTTCAAATATAATTCTTTCAAGTAAATACCTTTCGAATATAATTTTTTCAAGTAAATATCTTCAAAAATAATTCTTTCAAGTAAATACTTTTCGAATATAATTCTTTCAAGTAAATGTCTTTCAAATATAATTCTTTCAAGTAAATACCTTTCGAATATAATTTTTTCAAGTAAATATCTTCAAAAATAATTCTTTCAAGTAAATACTTTTCGAATATAATTCTTTCAAGTAAATGTCTTTCAAATATAATTCTTTCAAGTAAATACCTTTCGAATATAATTCTTTCAAGTAAATATCTTTCAAATGTACTTCTTTCAAGTAAATATCTTTATAATATAATTATTTCAAATAAATATCTTTCTAATATAATTCTTTCGAATAAATATCTTTCAAATATACTTCTCTCAAGTAAATATCTTTATAATATCATTCTTTCAAATAAATATCTTTCTAATCTAATTCTTTCGAATAAAAGTCACCATGTGACGCCTCATTTAACTTTCCTGGCGTGAGGAATACAGTCAACATATCACATCAAATGGCACGGCAATACCTTCGTGCACTTAGCTCATTCTCACCCAATATATATATTTGATTCAAATCAATTGGCACGGCAACACCCTTCGTGCATTTATATCTTCCTCACTGTGCATACATATAATAATACCAACTAGGTGGGAGAAATGCCAACAACAATAAAAGAAATAAAGTGGAGGCACACATGAAACAACAACGACTACAAGTCACACAGAATACATATGTGCACAATAACATCTCAAGATAAAGGCATGAATGTATACACAACAAAACGGTATCATAATATAATGTATGTCTCTCGCCCTCGCCTGCACGGAAACACCCTTCGTGCCATGAATATATGATAATATAAAAATAATTGCACGACATCACCCTTCGTGCTTTTACTCTCGTCCTCATCTGATAATATAAATGAAATAGCACGACATCACCCTTCGTGTTTTACACTCTCAATGGCACGACATCATCCTTCGTGCTTTACACTCTCAAATGGCACGTTATCACCCTTCGTGCTTTACACTCTCAAATGACACGGCATCACCCTTCGTGCTTTACACTCT